CGCACCAACTCGTCTAGCCTTTGTCGAAACGTGCGGCTGAAATTCTACCTGCGGAGACAACGTTGCATCCCTTGGCGGCGCTTGTGAGTTGGATGGAGACCACAGGTTAGGTTGCTCGGACATGTCTCCACCTGCTATCGGCCTCTTCCGGTATTTCCAATTAAGTTGAACCGGCAGCCGAAAATTACTCGTACCAGCACCCGTACTTGCAGCAGCAAGGACAGCGGCAGGCGATGCTTCATTGACGGCAGCAGAGACTTCGTCTTCACTGGTCTCCACCAAATCAGCCTGCGACAGTGACTCAAGGGTGGTTTCGGCAACGACATTGTCTCGCTTCGTCCTCTTCCCTCCAATTGCGATGCCACATGAACTAGTGACTCCGCTAGGACAGAACCTCGCCGCCATGCCTCGTCGGAATTCCTGAATCGTGCCAAATTCAGTTTCCAGGCCACCGACTTCAGCTTTCAGGCCCTCCTTGTTCGCCGCGACTTGCTCGGCTCTGTGGTCCAGGGCGCCCAATGATTTCCGCCACGGTTGCCTCTTGTTAACTCTGTCGCCACTCTTCACTTGCTTCTTCCAATACCTCCAGTTCATGAGGCGACGTCTCCTCATCTTCCGTGGATATAGCTGCTCACTTGGCTTGGGACCAAAGTCGGAAGTAACTATGACCTCTCTTAACCCTCGATCCAAAACCCCAAGTTGTTTGGCGTTTAGCTTCATGGACGGATCTGTTGGTGATGATCGTTGGGTCACGGAGCCCACAACAAACGGCAACGACTCGCTGGTAGGAACCTTATCATTGGTAGGCAGTGGGGGAATTGGTGGTGCGACTTCTAGCATCATCGGCGGTGGGGAAGAAGCTAGGGTTAGCTCTGGCGCGATGACGAGGATTGGTGCAATAGCAGAGGTTTCCAACTCAACAGGTGGCAACTTCATGGAGTCGATGCGATTGGGGCAAAACCTCTCCACATATCGGTTCCATGTAGCGACCAATTCTCTTGCTCGAATACCTTCAATCGTCATGGTTTTGCAGTGCCGGAGAACCGGGCTCTGATACCAACTGTTACGTAGATGCGCCGTAGGGGCGGAATTCTACGTATTGAATCTTTACTTCTCCGGACTTTTGGATACGTTGCTCGACGCTCTCGAGTAGAGGATCTCCTTAATGGCGAGAACAACCCCAAAATAGCTACGAAACTACTAAACTGAACGAAAGAAATAATCAAAGCAAACAAACGTAAATTGGGTTCCAATCTTCTCATGACATTAAACGAACGAAACAAGTACATATTTATAGGCATAGAAGCCTCTACCTTTTCCTATCTAGAACTTGAATACTACTCCCACAAGGACACAATAACCAAACCCTACTAAGACAAATAAACAATAATAATATCCCTAATTAATTACCTAATACCAACTAATAAAAAAGATACGCAAGCCCAGTAATTAATGAAATGTTACGATGGCTCGATCTCGTAACAGTTTCTTCCTCCAATCTTCCATGCATGGTGTTTGCTGTAGCAAGCAAGATTCGAATTCCTTACTTTCACAGTGTACGTCTTTCAATGTCTTGCGACGTAAAAATCGACGTTGACATTCATCAAGTTGCACTATGCAGACGGACGACAAATCCGTTTACGATCACCATTTCATGCTTTATGATGAGACGATATGTATTGGAGCCTCTTTTCTTTTCTTATTCTTTTCCTCGCGATTTTTGGGAACTTTTTTTGTCTAGTTCTAAGCCCGTGTCGGGTCATACTAATGTAATATTCTTTCTTTAAACTTTACAAGGAAGAATATAATATCCTTTTACTTGAACTTCAAGTTACCATGCCATTTCAACATGGATATGGTGCTTGATTAGTTCAAGGTTTGGCTCAGTATTCATATACAAGATCGATGAAGGGAAAGATCGATACCTCATATTGATTTCCTTGCTAATGGAATATATTCCGTAGGTCAACTCATCAATACTCCGAAATATCATCACTTCGTTGTTGCGGAACGACGAATTCTCATTTTGTATCATCAAAGGAGCATGGTTCATTCTGATAACCTCGGAGCTAAGGACTACAATACGTACGAATTGATCACGAGGAACACATTTGACATATTCATAGTATATATTCAGGGAATGTCCTCTTCTAGGGTTGAGGCAACATACAATTCACTTTTTTTCTATGGATGCTGTCACATATATATACCGAGAAATTTTACAATGCTATATAGTATTGGTGCTATAGGTTTTTGCCTTTATGGTACAACTTAAAATTGTACATTTACGTTATGGTACAACTTCAGATTGTACCTATACTTTTTGTACAAATTCTTTTATGGTACAACTTGAACTTGTACCTTTATGTGATGGTACAATTTCAAGTTGTAAAGTTGTACCATAATATAATGGTACAAATTGCTTTATGGTACAACCTAAACTTATACATTTAATGTTATGGTACAACTTTGAGTTGTACATTAAAGCACCAATACTATATAGCATAGTAGAAGTGCTCATATATACCAGCTATAATCTCAATTTTCATAATACAACACTTGACTAGCAAGTTGCGGGACTATCAATGTTTCATAAATTAGATTTCTCGGGCGTAAAAAAATTATACATGTGCATGACTTAATTAGAACGAATCAAACTTAATGTCAGGAACCAATTCATTTTAATGACTCGCAAAGTTGTTATAGGGATGTTCAAAATAATATTTTAATAATCAGTAAATATCTTCAATTAAAAAAAAGATGGGTAGTGAAACGAGCGCTAGTTTCATCATCATTTAAGTCAACTACTTACCTTTCACTTAATTAATTATCTTGTTTAAGGTGAAACAAAGACACCAGAGGAGGTAGTAATCATGATCTGCCAACATACTATAGTTAGAAGTTGGTTTTTATTTTAAGTTAATTACACTTAATTGACCAATGGCCATCTGACCAATAATTATATGGGGGTTGGTTGGTTGTGTGATGTTTTTCAAAACAGGGTAAGAAATCGGCTCATCTTAATCCTGTTCTCGAAAGGATTTACTGGGGCCTCTGGAAAAAACAAAGGCGGTGAAGTAGGGTTGAAAAAGAAAACGGCTGCTAGGTCCCTCCTAATCCTTTGTTCATATTGCAGCCAAATACAGAAGCATGACATCCGGATGGTGTAATTTCTGGTGTTAGAGTGATTGATCACTACTGTTTAGGGCTAATTCCATTTGAACCCCCCAGTTAATCAAAACGAGTACGCAATCTCGAATACGTCGAGTGTTGAGTTATAATTTGACCGATTCGAATTTAAAGAAGTAGAATTACGTGATTTTTTTTATAAATTACTTTTCACAACTTTATATACGTACGAGATTTCGGGATGAGATAGCATGCCTACCCATAAAAGGGTTGGAAAAATGACACCCCCTATTAATTATAGGTTTTTAAGGTAATTAATTTGTGTTGCATTTAATAATCTGTATGAATTAAAAACACATATTAATTACTTTCCTTTTTTCAGTGCACTGGTAGTTGTGTACAGGTGCAATGGTAGATGTATCAGTGCAATGGTAGTTCCAAAAAAGGAACGTAATTAATACGAGTTCAGTATACAGGTGCAATGGTAGTTGTATCAGTACAATAGTAGTTAAAAAAAGGAATGTAATTAAGATGAGTTTTTAATTTTCAAATATTATTAAATGCAACACAAATTTAATACAAAAAATAACTATAATTAATAGGGGTGTCATTTTTCCAACCCCTTAGAAGGGTTAGCATGCTAACCGATCCCCGAGATTTCTTTCGACTCTGTTTATATGTAAGGACATGAGCAAAATCAGGTCCTGTTTGACCTTGACCAGTTAACCTACTTTCGCCATCTTTGCAAGTAGGGCAAATATGGACATTGCAATAGTAGTACTGGGAAGATTGTTCTCATAAATATGGCATAACAATTGCATGTGCATTTGTTTGGCCACTATATAACGTTTAATGCATAACTCAAGTTATTGAGAATATTATTTAAAACGATATAAAAAATTATTGCAACCGCCAACGTTCAAATCTACGATATGATAAATTATATTTCAGTTATTGTCTCAACGATCAAATATATAAAAAAAAACTCGTTTAATTCGACAATTATCACTGGATAAACATGTTGAAATTTACATGAATTATTTTGCTTTTGGAAAAAGAAAAAAAAGAAATTTGTGAGTTTGCAAACTGTACAAGGTATGAAAAGAAAAAAGCGAAAAGGGACAGAGGGTACCTATCACGTAGAAGTCAGGAAACAGAATCAGGGTCAGTGTCTCAAAGCAGGCGGGCCCCTCTGCCCCATAAGTCATAGGGTTGCCCTAAATTTTTTTTTCCTCATCTCCCAACGACCATTTGACTTTTATTAATTGTACGTGATTAGCGCTCCGTCAAAAGTTTAATGACCCAATCAGCAAACGAAACAAAGTACCATAACCTAATCCGAAAAAACCCCAGGCCCAAATATCACCATCACTCCCACACATTCTCTCTCTCTCTCTCTTCCTCATCTTGAAATTTTTTTTGTTGCCTTCTGTGGACTGTGGGCCCCCGGCCCACAAAAGCCCCTCGGCCCCACCCAACTCCCATCCACAACGTGTCCTAGTCTCTCCCCAGCCTTGCCCTAGCCTACGTGTCGACCTCTCAACGGCTGCAAGCACCACCACTTCCCATCCCCTGCGCCTCACCCCCACGGTAACATCCCTGCACCCGCTCCCCTCCCCCTCCGTTTCACGTCGCTCTCGTTCCCATGCAGAAATTAATCACATAATCAATGTGGTTTAACGGAATCAAAATATCTAACCCGCCCCCAAGTCCAAATGACTAATCCACCCCTCGGACTATCAGTACGCGACAGCGCTGCACCGGATAATTCCCCCCTCCAGCCGTCCTCTTCGTGGCCCCCTCATTTATAAGCGAGATGGACCCCTCTTCCCTTCCCTACGCAACATTCGAACAACCACCTCCATTTCTTCTCTCTCTCTCTGCAGATTGTTTGAATTGAATCCTCCCAATTCTTCGTCATCGCGATCGGGTGGGTTTGATTGGATACATGGAGAGCACGGATTCGTCCGCCGGCGGCGGCGGCGGAAACAATCAGCCGCAGCAGCAGCAGCCTAACCTACCGCCAGGGTTCCGTTTCCACCCGACGGATGAAGAGCTGGTGGTTCACTACCTCAAAAAGAAGGCGTCCTCCATCCCTCTCCCGGTCTCCATAATCGCCGAGGTCGATCTCTACAAGTTCGACCCGTGGGAACTACCAGGTGTGTTATCAACTTATTATCATGCATCCTTTTTGAATTCTGAAATTTTTGTTTTTGGGGGTTGCGTGGATGGTGTTTGATGAAAGTCCTGAACGAAAAAAAATAAAACAGCAAAAGCTACGTTCGGAGAGCAGGAGTGGTACTTCTTCAGCCCGAGGGACAGGAAGTATCCGAACGGGGTGAGGCCCAACAGGGCGGCGACGTCGGGGTACTGGAAGGCCACCGGCACCGATAAGCCCGTCCTCACCTCCGGCGGGACCCAGAAAGTCGGCGTGAAGAAAGCCCTCGTCTTCTACGGCGGGAAGCCGCCGAAGGGCGTCAAGACCAACTGGATCATGCACGAGTACCGTCTCGCTGACAACAAAGTCACCAACCGGCCCCCTGGCTGTGACCTCGGCAACAAGAAGAATTCCTTGAGGGTACTTTTTCCCAAAATTTCTCTGTCTAGCTTTCTCCTTCCCATCGATCCAATTTGGATTGGGTTTTTTTTTTTTATCTTGACAACAGTTAAAGCGCACAGATTCGTCCTTTCCCGTATGCCATATTCTTTGAGATAAACAACCCATATTTTATATTCTCCCCTGCTCTCTCTGTTCATCCTTTTTGTTCTGTTCTGTGGACGACTGTGTGCAGCTGGACGATTGGGTGCTGTGTCGAATATACAAGAAGAACAACAATCACGGGAGGTCATTGATGGACCAGGAGAAGGAGGATTCGATGGAGGATATGCTGATGGGCCCGATCCCGCCTTCTTTACTGGTGTCGTCGTCAACTGCCCAGCAGAATTCCAGGCTGCAGCTTGGGAAAGGCGGCGGGAGTTATGGGTCTCTGCTGGATCATCATCAACATCAGCTCCACCACCACCAACAGAGTTTGTTCGAAGGAATCGAGCACAATTCCCTCGCCCACGCCAATCACCATCATCACAACAGCAACAACAATACTTCCAACTCGTTCTTCTCCCACTTGGCCGCGGCCGCTTCATCCAGGCAACAGCTAGAAGTGCTCCCCATGCTCCCTCCCCTCAAGCGATCGTCGTCCCTCTTCTGGCCCACATCGTCCGACGCCGTCGTCGTCGTCGATGATCACGACCCTTCCTCCGGCAAGAGGTTTCACGACGGCGACGACGGGGATAACAACGGCGGTGGTGGTCCGTCATCAATCGCGTCACTCCTCAGCCAAATCCCCCAGACACCTTCTCCCACGTTGCAACAACAGCACTCCACGGCGTCCATGTTGGGCTCCCTGCCGTATCATCATAATCAGCAGCTTCCTGGGATGAATTGGTACTCCTGATCAATTCGGTTCTATGAATTATTGGTTACCCAAAAATACCACCATTATAGATAGACACATATATATATATATTTCTATAGGATCGGAGAGATATTGAAAGAGATGCCACGATCGAGTAACAGAAAGTATATGTATGTATAGGTTTGATTCAGGTCCGGAGGAGTCATGAGGTGGGTGCTGAATCGATTTTTGGGGGGTTTTAGAAGGGTATTATAGCTAGCCAGCCTCTGCCGGCGGGAAGCTTGTGTGATCGCCGGCTTCCCGCCGGCCGCCTATCGTCTTCTTGAGTCAGTTTTTTTTTTTTTATATATAGTTTGTTTTAGTTTGTTCATATCCATCGTGTGAGAGAGGTAAATAGAATATAGTTACATAATATATATATGTATACAGTTATATATTGTATGAAGTGAATTTTACAGAAACGTTATACACCAATATGTATGCAGGCTTTTATGGAAATTAGAAGGAGTACTTTCAGTTTCCTCTTCAGAACGGGAACCATCTTTTCATTTTCTGTTTTCATTTTCCCCAGCTGGTTCAGAGATACTGTGATCTATGCGAGAGATTGATGAGTTTATGGATTCTGTGTTTCGAGATCGACCAAAGTGGTACTGAAACGCCATAGCTTTCTGGCTAGTTGTTTTCTTCTCTACTAGGGAAAAATGAAAGGGTTCTTTGGCAAGCCAGTTGGCATTTTTTTTTTCCCAGCATGCATGCATGACTTTTGTATATGTATGATTCATGATAACATACATACATACATGTTGTTATGTATACACGTCTACTTCATGCGATATGTTGTGGGGAATATTAGGGAGAGGTTGGTGATGAAGTGAGGCCAGTCCCTTCAGGTTTCTCCTTTTTCCATAGTCACAAATCATTTTCAATTTATCAACCAAGAATTTAATAGTACTGTTCCATTTAATAGTTAGAAAAATCATTTCTTTGTAACTTATTAGTATGGTGAATTTTGATTTTCGATTGTGGTGGTTTTCGTGTATTAACTTTCTATATTTCTCCTACTTGTTTAAAAAAAATCCCCTAGCATTTTTTTTAACAAAATTAGCAACACTAGTAAACTTGATTTATGAAAAATATTTAAATAAATGGAAAATATATCCATCCAAAATCAAATCATTTCCTACACAAGTCTTATTTTTTCATCCACACTTCTTATTGTGATTTTTTGGTCTATATTGGTGGAAAAAATCACCATGTGAACAATGGTTCTGGTGATTTTGTTATCGATTTTTAGCTAGGTTTTCAAGTTCGAATCTTTCAATTAGCATGTAACAATATAAACAAACCGTCATCACCATTATAAAAAAAAACTAACTAAGTTATCTATATATCTTTTCTTACCCTTAATGCACATATTTTATGGTTTATTTGTGTGTACTTAATTAACACTATAAAAAAAACCGTTATCACCATTGTATAAAAGACACAAAACAAAGTCATCATGATCATATATCTTTGGCTTACCCTAAATGCACATATTATGTGGTTCATTTGTGTTTTACGTAGGCTGCCATTCTATGATTTTCCTGGCCATTCCTTTTCACCACTAATATGCAGTAAGTATATTTTGCGCAAAGTGTAAAGTTTAGCGATAACTTGTTGACTGCAACCTCATCGAAATCAGTCCACTAATTTATGTATTAAGGCAATAAATCGGTTGAGAAATTAGAATCGATGAATTGGGTTGTGGTGATCTCAGTAGTGATGCTATAATACCACCTCCACAGTTTATATAACTTACCATTATTGTCTAAATTCTGTGCTTACTTTTCACCTTCATTCCACCTTACAATTTAATACCCACAAAGAGAGCAGAAATTGCTTGTTTCTGTATGTGTATATGCATCTGATGTTTGAAAGGCAAATAATGAGTCGTCCTCTTAAGGGGATTCGGAGTGCAGCATAATATACGCAGTTTGCAGCTTTTGGAGAGATATGGCTGCGAATCCAGCTAGAATCAAGAGCGAGCTGCACATGATTTCTGCAGCCTTTCAAAACCCTTTCAATATGTTAATTTCGGAGAAAATCTTTAATGTATAGTAGGACCCAGAAAGTTCATCGAGAGTATTCAACGATAAATCAAAATCTTACAGGGTTGTTAAATGATTTCGAATCTGAATACTACCGTCACGAAAACAAAATTTTACACAAGTGTTTCGTTCAAAAATTTGGATTTAAGGTTGACTAAATTGTCGAGTTTTTGGTGAGTTCATGATCAAGAGAGGTTGATGTGGCCATGTTAATCTTGAATGTCATAGGATACACATCTTTGAAATAAATAGTCTTTTTTCTTTTCTGTTGCAATAGTGTTACCTAGACTGTGACACCTTGTCAAAACCTAACCAAGACATTAAACACTTTGATTAGGACAAATCAACTTGCCATGATGAGTTAAGCTTTGGAGTGAATCCATCAAGCTATATGAGCATTTATTTTAATGAATAACTAGAAGTTCGATGTACACATATGAACGGTGGTGGAGCCACGTCGATGACATATAGGAGGATATAGTCCGCTTCAACTCTCAAAACTCATATAAAATTATATGTATATTTGTAACAAATTTGGGAAATATAGTTGTTGATGATGAGCCTTTATAAATCCCATTACTCGTCAATTCAAATTCTCTGAGCGTATATTTTTAGCCTAGACTGTTCAGATTTCTGACTCCGCGCTGCTGCATATGAACATGGACATGTAAAGTCTTTGCTAATCAAGAGGAGGAGGGGGTTATGGAGGGAGTCATTTTCAAGCTACTTAGTGAACATTTGATTGATAGGACATAAGCGCTTGTATGCATATTCCATGACTTCAGAGGTCACTCACTCTCACATGTATATATATGTTGACAACAAGAGCCTACCTTACCTCACATTTGGCCTTTACTCTCTCTCTCTCTCTCTACTCTCTAAGGCTGATGACCACATTAATTAAATTTATTAGAATTAAGATATAATTTAGATTTCATTTGTTGGGTCCATCTTGTCACTAAAAGGAATCATTATCTCTAAACCACCCATGAAATGAAATTAAGAGAAATACATCCCACCTCTCGTTTAATTCCCATTCCATTCCGAGGAAAGAGTACAAATCAACTTTAAGACAATTTTGCATCATTGTTATCTAATTCGGGCATGCAGATTTTGATATGATCATAAAGTTGCAGATATTATCTCCCCTTTTCTTTTGTAGAAGATGCTTTTCTTTGAAACCGCGGATCTTTTTCTTTCGATTAAAACTCGCTTAGCTGAACCATTCAGCGTTGTGGCTCATTTGGTAAGATAAGAGAGTCGATACAAATAGTTCTTCTGATTCCAATCCTCAAAACACATCATTCTGATGATGACGAAAATATTTTGGTGGCTACATCCAACAATGAGATTATAAGTTATGAGCTGTATACTTACATGAGTTTATCGAGTATTTGTACAAGACCTCAAAAAGTATTGATATATGTGCTGAATTCCTTTGTTGTTGAGGAAAGAAACTTTGTTTAGTTCGTCCTATTTGTTAGCACATAATACTCTCACGATTTTTTGTTACATAACTCAGACCACACATGAGCGAATACACTAAAGGGTGGATTAGTATATGTGGTCAACCATTTATCGTACCAATTTGACATAAATATTTGAACCTATTCTTGGCTTTTTAATTAGTCTTTATCTCCATACTACTATTGCTAGACTTAATTATGATATAAGGGTAGGGATGGTATTAGTCAGTACTACATCTAGAGTTACCAAAAGGATCAAAAGATTAATGGGTTTTAAATTTCCATGACATGTATTTTGGCTTTTCTCTAACTTTATTTCAGTCTAAAAGCCAAGAACCCTAGCCAACGACTGAGACTCATGCATGGTTTCCTACATCAAACTATCTTCTCTAACATAATGAGAGACTCCCGTGATTAGACTTATCTTCTATGGATGATGATGAAGAATTTGAATCTCAAACTTGAATAATAATCATAACATGTTATTCAACGCGCGGAAGTTTGTTTGTTGTGATCCTTAATTTTAGAACGAGAAAACTCACCGAGAAACTTCAATGTATCGTGTACATAATACCAGGAAGAAATCTCCACTAATTAAGATGAACGTAAATTTATGATATCCATTTCACTAAGACGAACGTAACTTAATTTTTTTTAACATTACGTCGAGCGGTCGAGGCAAACGATCCCTTAGCTACCCAAATGGAAATGGCTTGTCATTTTTTTTTCGATTGTAGAAATGGCTTGTCATTGATGAAGCCACCCACATATTTTAACCCAACTAATCAACATAACTATCTTTAAATCCACATAAACCCCACAATTGATGAACTCCAACTCGAAACCAGCTGCATGCTTCAACAGAACAAACCACCATAATGAACATAATTAATTGGGTTTGCTGAGCTGTTCCCCCTTCTTTTGTTAATGTTGTATGGCTGTCCCAATTGGTAAAATGAAGGAGCTAAGCTTTCTAGGACAATTGACAATATTGTTTACAGTTGATGCAGAGGGAGGAGCTAGGGTTGCCTCAGAAACCTGTTTATGGCAATATTCTTACCCCTTTTTTAAGCACCGACTTGCCGATTACTGCTCCATAATTGCCTTCCTTTTGCCCCACAGATGGGTGGTGGGTTAATTAATTGGATCTTTATCTGTTTGATTAGCCCTTCTTCCACTCTTCAACCCTTTCTTTTGGTTTTTTGTTCAATTAGCATATTTTAGAGGAACCACTTGTATAGAATAATAAAAGCAAATTGGTGAAGAACAGCACACTTGGGATCAAGACATTGAAGAACAAGCTTGAATTGGATAAGGTGATAAAGGGTGACAACCGTGATCATAACCCTTCATTCAGCCTAACAATACAACGTTGAGATGACAATGAGGGTAATTAGCTAGTAGACCGTTGTGATGTTGAAACCCTAAATGCATATTAAATGCATTTTTAGCAGGGTGGAAACAATACTTGCGGCCCTTAACTCATAGTAAATGTATATTTTATTTGGAAAGGAATTTAAATATGGGTAAAGTAGTTTTAGTTTATTTTGAAGGGCATAGATCACAGATTCGGCATGAGTCTATTATGTATAGATGATAAAGTCGATGAATCGTCGATTTGGGCGGATTTTTTCGGATGACATTTTTCGTTATTTTTTGGGCAATTTTTCGTAATGTAATTTATTTTGGATTTTGAAAAATCATGGATTCGGTCTAAGGCTATTATTCAACAATGATTAAATCTATTAAACACCAACTTGGGCGGATTTTTTGGGTAAATTTTTGGCAGATTTCAAAAGGGTAGCATCATATGTAGATTTCATAGGATTTTTTCGAAATATCATTTTCCTTGGATTTTGAAGGCTACAAATATCGTATTCGGCTTGAGGCTATTCTCCACTGATGATGAAGTCTATTAAACGTAGATTTGGCGGATTTTTTCAGATTGCATTTTGATAATTTTTTGGACGCTTTTTTTCGAAATGACATTTTCCTTGGATTTGAAGGCTAAAGATCACGGATTTGTCCTGAGGTTATTCTACATCGATGATAAAGTCTATTAAGCACTGATTGGGTGGATTTTTTCCGGGTCTATTTTTGGCATATTCCAAAGGGGTACCATCACAAATTTCGGACGATTTTTTCGAAAGGCCATTAGCCTTGGCTTTTTAAGGCCACTGATCACGGATTGGCCCTAAGGCTATTATCCACCGACGATGAAGTCTATTAAGCGTTGTTTTTTACGGATTTTTTTGGAGGGCATTTTCGTAAATTTTTATGTGAATTTTTTCAAAAAGCCATTTTCCTTAGATTTGAAGGCTAAAGATCACAGATTCTGCCTGAGGCTATTCTGCACCGATGATAAAGTCTATTAAGCACTGATTTGGGAGGATTTTTTTGGGTTCATTTTTTGCAGATTCCAAAAGGGTACCATCACTTATTTCAGAAGATTTTTTTGAAAGATCATTTTTCTTGGATTTTTAAGGCTACCGATCATGGATTCTGCGTGAGGTTATTCTCCACCTACGATGAAGTCTATTAAGCGCCAAAATTTGGCAAAATTTTTTCAAGGGCATTTTCATAATTTTTGTGAGATTTTTTTCAAAAATCAATTTCCATTTATTTTGAAGGCTAATGATAACAGATTCAGTCTGAGGCTATTCTACACAAATGATTAAGTCTATTAAGTACTGATTTGGGTAGATTTTTTCAGTCTCCATTTTTTGCAAATTCTGAAGGGGTTCTATCACAGATTTTAGACAGTTTTTTCAAAAAGACTATTTTCATTTGATTTTGAATGCTAATCATCACGAATTCGTTAAGAGGCTATTCTCCGCCCATATTTTTACTCCATTGGGCCTTAGATGTGGCAGTCCAAGCCCATTATTCATCCTAATTGCGCTCCTGCAAAACTGCCCTTAATTGGGCGCAAGATTAACCCAAACAGTTTTTGTTGGGCTTATCTAACATATGCCCAAATCCATACTTGTAGGGCAGTTCACCAAACAAACTACTTGGGCTTCTGTTAAGGAACATAGTTTTGAAGCCCATTTTTGCAATATCTTGTAGTGTCACGATATGCAATTATAGTCAACACTCAACAGAATTTTTATATAAACGCAAATGAGTACTTGTAGTGTGACGATATCTTTATAAAAACAAACCGTCTCTGAATACCATATGTTGCGTCGTTGCCAAGTAAGGTAGTACGTCATCATATTAAAAGAAATTGTTGGACGTTCTACGGTAATGGTAGCTAGTGCCGTACTACAAGCGTATCCATTAGCATATCACTTACAAAATTGACGTTGATTCTATTAGTCGCCACTCGCACACGAGCTGAAAGAACAATTATTTTCTGAATGGAACTAGGAGGCAAAGTGGTCAGATTGTTGCAACAGTCTAAAGAATGAATGAAGAGAGGAAGTTTGAACTTTCAACGTTCTGCTAGAAGGACCAGGCAGCTGAGTCGCTGTCTTCCTTTCTCCCTTTGACCACAACCCAAACCCTAAACCCAATTCAACAGACTAAATAAATACTCTTCCAACCCATTACCAGCCCACTAAACTAAACAAATAACTCCATTCGTGTTAGCGCTAGCTAGCTAGCTTTGACCATCGCCAGCCAGCCAATTGGCTTCCAAAGTACAAAGCCGCGAAGTCAACACACCCGCAACCGCCTTCCCTCTGTATTTTCCCTCCCAACCCACCATCTACTTATAAGAACACCCTCCAACCATTCCACCAACAGAGAACCAAAACTAACAAACCCAATTGAACCCAAAACATCTCCATTCTCCCCAAGGCAAAGAGAAGATTGGAGCTTAGATCAAAATGTCGGTAAACCATCTGGGAGCCAAGATGAGCGGCGTTCGTCTCGGCCAGAGAGAATACGGGAGGGAAGGGAGCTGCGGCGGGTTTGGCCGGATCGGTAGTGGTGCTCCCGCCGGCGTTGTACGCGGAGGAGCAGCTTCGTCGAGGGTGATGAGGACGTCGTCGAGATTCGCCGGCGGTGGCGGCGGGCGGCACGGCCGGCACGCTATGCCTCCGAGCAGCAGTCACGAGAAGTGGAGGAGGCATCAGGCGGCGGGGAGCAGGGAGGTGCTGAGGAGGGCGTTGATGCCGGCCGGCCGACGGCCCAGCCTCCGGTGGGTGAATTTCCGGCCGACTCCTAGCCGCCTTTGCAATATGTCCATGGCCGCGTAATCGATTTAATAGCCTGGCTTCCTCTGCTGTAGCTCTGTTGACTCCTCTGTTTTTTTCTTGCGAGTTGAAGGGAATTTGTCTATCTTAATTCTTAATTCCCATAATCCCATTCTTTGCCGATTCTTCAATTTTGTACTTGTTACTAGTTCGTCCTTGAACAATAAAAAAAGATGATCAGTCTATTGGATAGGTTCACAATAAGAACAAGGTTCAAATCTACGGGTCTAATACGATGTCTCATATACAATATCGTTGCATTTCACTTGACACCTATCGTAATTGGTATAACTCTTAGAGTTGATCGTTAATTCAACTTAACAATTCATGGTTGTATCTCCAACCCTATTTAGCTGTCAACCAATTGTTCTAAACCTAGAAAGTTGTCTTCGATCATTGCCAGCCTGCAAATCTGCTATTGATCTTTTTCCCTCAAGTGCACAGCTCAAGTCTGCTGGCATCTGCTTTTGCTCATATCTTAGGAACGATCACTTGAGGCACACGAACTGCCTTTTATTAGTGGTTTAATTGAGATTTCGTATCACTAACTCATTATTCTAATTATCATCATTAGACATGTTACCTGGAGCTTAACTAGAGGGCCGACTTCCAGGTCTGCAAAGGAACATGGACAAATTGCAGAAACGATTGGAGTGAATTGAAGCAGTGACAGAGGGCCAACTTCAGATAAGCCCCGGATGCTGCTTCGCCTCTGTACCCGCAGAAGTGTGCTCTACCGTCCAGTCCGGTTGCAGCTGCGATCTCAATTCTCGACTGTCGAACAGTTGAGATCGCAGAATGCAACTCCACCTGGACCTAACATAGGAACACTGATTGTATACAACCACTGTGGCTTAAAGCATTTCTAGACCGTAGCTGAATCGGGTTTCCCCGATCTAACTGAAGCAAGTAAATTGTATACTGTTTCTTTTAGAAAGCAGGCTAGCAATTCTATCCTTGATTCCTGAATCGCGTAACCGAATCTAGACCTCTTTGCAGACAGTCGACCAAATGGGAACAGAAGGATTGGCTTTGTATAGCCTTCATCTTTTGTTTTGACAAAATAAATGACGACCAGGAAACTTCCCCCTTATCTCTTTGCCAGTTTCGCGTGCACCAAGTCAGAAAATGTATCCCTCACTTCTCCACCAGAGGCCACTACCTCAACTTCGCCTCGTCCTCGCAAAGACTTCATCACGCGGTAACCTCACGAAGTCGTTGCTAATCTATAAGAAAGCTCTCTGCTTTCGCCAAAACCCAAATCCTGAAATCCCCTGCAACAACAATGGAGGCAGCCTATTTGCCACCGGAGATCCTACTCGACATCTTCCACAGGCTCCCGGCCAAGTCCATCCTCAGCTGCGTCTGCGTCTCCAAGTACTGGCTTTCCCTGATCAAAACCCCTGATTTCGTCTCTGCCCACCACTTCAACCAACAATCCGCCATTTCTTCTTCCTCCAACCCACATCCCCTGTTTCTCCTCCGCCTCTGTGTTGGCTCTGCTCTGGTAAACCGCTACTCCATTCACCGCGACGACCGCAGATTCACCCACTACGCCGAAATCAAACCCCCTTCATCAATCAACAACCAGTCCTTCTCCATCGTCGGATCGTGCCAAGGGTTGGTCTGCCTGATGCACGACCTCTACGCTTCCAACTACACAATCATCCTCTGGAACCCTTCCATCGGAAAAACCTTCGCCCTCCCTGAACCGGGAGTCACTTTCGAGACCCACGGCGGATTCGAAGCACTCCTCGGTTTCGGGTTCGATTCGTCGACCAACGATTACAAGGTCGTGAGAGTCGTCCGGCTTCTGGAGTACGAAGAAATCGCAATTGAAGTCGAGGTGTTTTCACTGAACGCCGGCTCGTGGAAGACGATTACCTCCACGGCTCCGCAGTACAACATCGTGGAGCGCGGGTCCCAGGCTTTCGTCAACGGGTCGGTTCACTGGGTCGCGACCCGGCCCGGCAACGACGGCGGTGGTGACAAGAACTTGATTCTGGGTCTCGACCTAAAGGGGGAAGAACGGTTCAGGGAGCTGGAGCTGCCGGAGAGCTTGAAATTGGAGAGGGCGATGTTCTTGACGGTGTGTGGATACAAGGAATCGACGATTGCGGTGTTCAAGAGGCCGTATTTCACGGAAGCGGAGAGCGAGATTTGGGTGATGGAAGAGTACGGGGCGGCGGAGTCGTGGGTGAGGCTGTTGACGTTAGGGATGTACGGTGGGAGACTGCCGAGGGCTTTGGGGTTCAGAGGGAACGGCGATATGTTGTTCGAACTCGCCGGCGGGGAGATTGTGTCCGGTGATCCGGAGAGTTTCGAGATTAAGGAGTTGGGGTTGTGGGGAGAAGCTGGATACTCGGTCGTGGGGAGTTTCATGGAGACGCTTGTTCTGCTTGATAGGTCGAGTTAGGCCTGTTAGTCGGTGCGGTTTCGGTTTAACCGAACCGCACCATCGGTTAGCCGAGACCGCAAATACCCCATCATCGCCAACCGAAGCCGACACCGACAAGTAGGGGTGATAGTCGGTTCGGTTTCGGTTTAACCGAACCGACCGAGCGGTTAGCCGAGACCAAAACTGGGCTGAAACCTCTAACCGAAGCCGACACCGAATAAGACTACGGTTAGCCGACACCGAAACCGCCTGTTTCGGCTCGGTTCGTCGGTTATTGTGCAACCGAAAAAGTCTTTTAAAAAGGAAAAAATATGGTGAGTTCTCTCTCCTTTCATACTTTCCCTTTCTCCATTTTTGCGTCTCTCTCTCCTGTGTTTCCAGAAAATTCTCAATCCTCTACCCACTGGCGATGAACATGCATGGAGGAGGTACTGGATCTGGCCGGATTTTTGGTTTGCGTTATCTTCCTCCAGTCCACTACCTCCGCCGCCTCCTGAAACAGATCCGCGAATCTCGCCATTAAGCAAGATGAAGAGGAACGCCTGGAGGAAAAGAAAGAAGGGCATGGTAGCGGCGGGCGACGACTCTTGATCCGGCGACAGAGGAGGAAAATGAAGAACGAAATGGCAGCAGCGGCGCCGGTGGCAGAGGAGGAAGAGAAAGAGTCGCCGGAGGCAGAGGGTTCAGGAAGATCTGGATCTATATCTGCCGAAAATGGAAGATATATTCAAATTTTAAGTTCAAAGTGCCAATGATGGTGGCGGCGCATCTAGGCAACTGTCATCTCCGGCTCCGTTGAGGTATATTAGAGACGAACTACATCATGAGTTTTTGGGTTCTTGATTGTTAAGGAAATTAGGGTTCATAATTGTAATAAATTTAGTTGGGAAGCTTTTTGTTTCTTTAGAGGCAGAAGTAGAGTCGTGATGTTTAATTGTTTATGGGGATTGAAAGAGGGGGAGGCTCGGTTGGGTGAGATAATTTCAGCTAGTCGGTTAGATTTCGGTGCACCGAGTTGTTATCGGTTACCAACCGAAAACCGTCGGTTAACAAATATGCCAAAGTATGCCAACCGAAGCCGAGACCGAAGGGTTATTGTCGGTTTTCGGTTAGCCGTCTAACCGACTATTTCGGTTCGGTTTTTCGGTTAACCAATTAACCGACCACCGATTAACACCCCTACCGACAAGACCATCGGTGAACCGCTAACCGCAGACGGCGGTTTCGGTTTGGAGTTGCGGTTAGCCGAGACCGCAAGTCCCCTCTCCATTTTCGATCTCTCCAGCTCTCTCTCTCTCACTCCTATCGGCTGCCATCAATCCCATCGACCACAGACGACTCCCTTCCAATCCTCTCCACTTCGACTTTTTCCAATTGACTCCTCCGCTCTTTTTCAGCCGACAATTTTTGAATCGGCCAGATTCTGCCGGAACTAGAACATGCATGGAGGTGTTGTTGTTGGATTTTTCGATCGGAGCCAAAGGAATAAGGGAAAGAGTTGTTAGAGGCAGAGATGGCGGGCCTGGATCTGAACCCGCCGCGGAGGAGCTACTTCGCCAAAGGCTGCCGCTTCGACACCGGACACCCTCTGCTTCTCTTCCTCCAAGCAAAGTCGTGGCTAGATCTCGCCAAGGTCGGGATTGGGGAGATAGGGTCGGCGACGCTCAGGTTGGGGCGCTAGGTTAGAAGGATGAGAATCGAGAAGAAGTTGGTGTTCTTCCATCTCTGGGTCGGCAAAAATTGAGATAAGGAGGTTGAATTGGGAATTTGGGATTTAGCTATTTAGGAATTAGGGATTTATGAGGGCAATAGTGGAGAAAGGTGGGAATTTGGAAAGGAAGGAAGAGGGGAGAGCTGCGGGAGGAGAGGGAGTGATTCGCATGGCTGGATTGGTCTTCCACTCTTCCTCTTCTTCGTCATTCTCATCGGCGTGCGCAGTGGAGAGGTCCGGCGGTTAGCAGCGGTGCACCGAGTTTTTCTCGGTTAGCAACCGGCAACCGTCGGTTACAGATATTCCCCGAAAATTGGCAACCGACGCCGACACCGAACCTATTATAGTCGGGTTTCGGTTATCCGATAAACCGACATTTCGGTTCGGTTGTCGGGTAAACCGAATAACCAAGACCGAATTATCACCCCTAGGTCGAGTGGATGGACAGAGATACCAACTGAACCCGAATTCACATTTGCTCAACCCAACCCAGCCCAAGAAAGTAAGAGGTTGTTTGGAGGTTGGGGTTCTCCAAATTGAAGTATTTAATCAATTTGTGTATTGTAATTTGATGTATTGATGAAATGAAATGTATGGATTTGAAAAATACATTGTTCGGAGGTTTACATTGTGCTTTGTTACAAATGAAAAAATAGAGTATAGACAATCCCTTTGGTTACAATCTCACCTTTTGGTAAAGATTGATCATCACTCATTTTGAGTGATTGTTGGTGGGCCTAGAAAAAATTAAAAAAAAAAGATTTAATCTTGACATACATGCATTGGCTAAATACATCGCTTGAAATCACAATCTCCAAACGACTCCTAAAATTCAATGTTGATTGTTGATAGGTTTTGGGGCCGGATGCGGGTTTTGCCCGAGTTTAAAATTGGTTTGTTGTGTTTGGGTTTCAATGTGGTCTTAATCGATCTATTTCATATTTGTTGGATTTATAGTTTGTTCTTTGAAATAAGGGTGATATAGGTTATTTTTTGTGATTAAATACTATTGAAGAGATTCGAACCTGTAGGTCCTATAACACAACAAATCAATCTCGTATCTGCCTCGCATAATGCCGACCAGGTCGTGTAATACCCACACAGATGCTGGATGAGTCAGGTCGACCATTATTATTTCTTAATATGGTATTTTTTTAAAAAACTTGATAGTTTACTCTTTTACAAGAACACATAGATAAAACCCCAACCCAAATCGAGGAGCACAATGGGATGGGGTGGGTATTTCAATTCTCGTATCCGCCTTGCATTAGCAGTTTAGCACCGACCATGTCGTGTAATACTCGCACAGATACTGGATGGGTCAGGTCGACCATTCTTATTTCTTAATATGTTATTTGAAGGGAAAAAAAAGGTTGATAGTTTACTATTTTACAAGAACACATAGATAAAAACACATCATAAATGAATGAGAAATATAGTAGAAAGGATAGTTATATGTAAATAGTTTTTTTTTTTTTTTTAGATAAGGGTGATATATATTACTTTTTTTTTTTGTTATTAGGTACTACTGAAGGGACTCGAACCTAGGACCTCCAGGTTCATGGCTAGTGGTATTACCACTAGACCAATCCCTTGTTCGTTAGTTATATGTAAATAATTGAAAGATAAGAGTGTTAAAGTTTCTTTAGGATGAAAAATAAGATCTTACAAAGGTCAAAAGAGGGGAAATACATGTACATATTGATATCACTGACCTCAAAGATCAGAAATTGACATCACTAGCCTCAAACTCACCATGGGAAGACAAAACGAGGGAAAACACCAACCCAAACCCGAGGATGGGAGAAAGAGAAGCAAACAAGCCTCCGAAAACCGTAGGAAGCTGAGTTCATCCCTAATCCAGCTTTTGCTTGACCAATCGTGAGAAGTAGATGACTGTAGATCTTCGACTAAAACAAGAGCTATATAGCAACCTTTGAGCAATGGGCATTCGACAGAGAAACAGTAAGGAAAGAGTCTTCATCTTCAACATTCTTAAAACCGAGTCCGAGTCTTCATCTTCACTTGCCTTTCTTTCAGACATTTTATGTTCTTCATCTATCGTTGTTTCGGTACACTTCGTAGCTGGCTGTCTTTTACCTGTAGTCCTCTGCTAAATAGTTTGTTTTGGTTGTAGTCAACCCAGCCAACCCCAGCCTAGTTATTCTGCTAATTTGAAAATTCGTTAGTATATACTAACTAATATCCAAAATGTATGAACTAGTATCTAAGTTTGCTGAGTATCTAGATAGCACAGACTAGTATTCTAAACATCACAAACTAGTATCCAGATAGCAGATACCAACTAATATCCACAATCAACCAACTAGTATTCAATATGGATACTATTATGTGTTATCTGGATACTCTTATGTGTTATCTGGATACTAATTATGTGTTGTATGAATACTATTCTCTGTTGTCTAGATATTAGTTTGTGAATTTGGGATAATAGTTGATTCATGGTGAATATCAGTTAGCAAACTTTGAATACTAGTCTGTGCTCTCTAAATACTTTAGTACTTGGATACTAGTTCATGTATTTTGGATATTAGTTAGTATCTGCTAACGAATCTTCAAGTTAGCAGATTAACTTTTCCCAGCCAACCCATACCTTCTTTTTTGTTGTCATGCCCTCCAGAGTATTATTCCTAAACTTACTATGCACTTCCACTAATAAAATTATACCTTTCAGATCCTTACAAAATCTTTGATTTTTAGTTTACACTTCACAACAACCCAAAATTTAGAAACTTCCCCGTACGGCCCTATCCACTTTGCCAATTTCAGCATGCACCAAGTCAGGAAATTGATCCCGCACTCTCCCTCCCATGGCCACTATTCCTCAAGACCTCAACCTCGCTCCCATAGACTTCATGACGCGGTAACCTCACGAAGTCCACCCGAGTTCCTAATTTATAACGAAGCTCCCTCTCTGTTTTCACCCAAACCCTCAATTCCTGCAACAACAGAGCACCAGAAATGGAAGCAGCCTATCTGCCGCCGGAAATCCTACTCGACATCTTCCACAGGCTGCCAGCCAAATCCATCCTCGCCTGCGTCTGCGTCTCCAAGTACTGGCTTTCCCTGATCAAGACCCATGATTTCATCGCCTCCCACTCCAACCAACAATCCGCCATTTCTTCCTCCAACCCACACCCCCTGTTTCTCATCCGCCTCTGTTTCAGCTTCAGGGCTCGGGAGAACCACTACTTCCTTCGCCGCGACGACCGGGAATTCACCCACTACGCCGAAGTCAAAACCATTCCACCCATCGTCAACGACAGGTCCTTCTCCGTCGTCGGATCGTGCCGCGGATTGGTCTGCCTGATGCACAATCTCTACACTTCCAACTACACAATCGCCCTCTGGAACCCTGCAATAGGGAAAACCATCACCCTCCCCAAACCGGGCGTCACTTTCGAGACCCACGGCGGGTTCGAATCCCTCCTCGGTTTCGGGTTCGATTCGTCGACCCGGGATTACAAAGTGGTCAGGGTGGTGCGGCTTCTGGAGTGCGAAGAAATCGCAATTGAAGTCGAGGTCTTCTCCCTCAACGCCGGGTCGTGGAAGCGGATTACCTCCGCGGCACCGCAGTACAACATCGTGGAGCGCGGGTCCCAGGCTTTCGTAAACGGGTCGGTCCACTGGGTCGCGAGACGGGGCAACAACAACGAGGGTTACAGGAACGTGATTCTGGGTCTCGATCTACAGGGCGGCGAAGAACGATTCCGTGAGCTGGAGCTGCCGGAGAGCCTGAAGTATGAGTGCCCGATGTACCTGACGGTGTGTGGCTACAAGGAATCGACGATTGCGGTGTTCAAGAGGCGGTATTTGGGGGAACCGGCGAGTCAGATTTGGGTGATGGAAGAGTACGGGGCGGTGAAATCGTGGGTGAGGATGTTGATAATCGAGACGTACGATGGAGAAGTGCCGAGGGCGTTGGGGTTCAGGGGGAACGGGGAGGTGTTGTTCGAAATCGCCGGCGGGGAGATCGTGTCCGGCGATCCGGAGAGCTTCGAGGTTTCGGAGTTAGGGTTGTGGGGAGTCGCTGGGTACTCGTTCGTCGGGAGTTTCGTGGAGACGCTTGATCTGCTTGATAGATAGAGTGGCTTTTCAATTTTCACAGTGTACACACACTACTGATGGAGGGGTTCTTCTTGGGCCTATGTTTTGATTGGGCTTTTTCTTAACTTTGTGGTGTGGACTTGATTGGGCTTTTCTTAATTCGAGATCTATTAACTAACAATCAAACTAATTGGCCAAAAAAAAAAATTAATTGGCAAAAAAAACTAACAATCAAACTAATGTCTACAAATGAAATTAGTCAAAACTAACTAACTAATACCTACAAAGAATTGAGTTACTTTATTTGATCTCTACAGATTTAAATCCTCTGCAAACTCTGTTGTATGTTGTCACAATCCAAATTTATAAGGTGTTTTGGTATATGATCTGTCAAATTACGAATTCAACATTTAAACAATCTGATTACTTTTCTCTATAAATGATTTTTTAATCCCTATTAATTAAAAAAGGCACAACGAACTTACCAACAATGACCGTAGGACTAAATTCAACCACTACACAAGCTCGACTATCTTCTCTCTAATTTATATTTCTAAAATATCCAAATTCAGAATCATCTATTGAATACAAAAATTTTCTATTAAAAAATCATTGCGAACAATTTCATCCAGTGACGATAAATCTACATTGCATCTTCGTCACAGTAAAAAACAACAAATCACCAGAAACTCAACAAAAGCTAATTGGTTATATCCATTTTCTGAACTTCCAATCTGCAAAAACAAGTTTTATTCCAAGAGATTCACCACTTCACAAGCAGATGAACAGATGAACAGGCTAAAGAAAACAAAAACCAAACCACAAGATGAGATTACGGCGGGAATTAATTATTTAAGCTTAGCCAATATGAGGCACCTTAACAACCATGTGATCTTTGTCCACGAAAACTCGAACCCTATCGCAACGGAAATCCCCCGTCACAAAAGCTCCTTCCTTGAAGATCTTTGCCGTCACCATCGGATTCTCCTCCCCTATCTTCTCCACCGCCGAATCGCCGTCAGCCCCTACCAGCTCCGGCCAAAGACTCTTCCCTGCATATATACGTACAAGTTAACAGCGATCGATCGAACATTCAAAAAAAAAAAAAAATATATCGATCGAACATACAAAACGCGGCGAGTTTCCTGAAGGGAGAAGAAGAATATAATTAATTCATAGACGAAAATCTCACCTGGGCAGTGCGACATGATCAAATCTGTCTATGCTATTACCGAGTTCGAGTGTGCTCTGAAAAGAAGGGTGGAAAATATTTATAGAGGAGAAATTGTGGGGGTGAGGACCGGCCGGTTTCGGTGTGGTTTTGTCATTTTGTGTTCGGCACTGTTTGTACACATGTGGATAGAGGCGCCGCCGGCCGTGTCCGTGATCCGTTAATGTCACAATCGAACCAAAACCATCTCCCAAAACGACAACAGGAAACGACGGGCCGGCCGGGAAAAAAGAATCGATGGTGAACTCAAAGTTGGCCGCCGATCAGATATAGATACCCGTGACTACACATTGCTAGCGACGCGTTAAGGTGTTAGTTTATGCATTCGGTTATAATCAAATCTTTTGTTTTGATAATGAATAAAAAGATTTGGTGGTAATTAATCACGGTTGGTTAATTTTGTCCTAAAGTCTTCGACCATTATTTTGTCCTCGAACCAATGATATCCTCCATTGAACCAAGAACGGATTGCAACGTTAAAGATAGTGAAAGCATGTACCGAATTTAAATTGGTCGTGAAGGATCTTTGTTCCTTAATCAACCAAGTCTATACGAGAGATACTGAGAGTGAATTCCAAGTGACTTAATTGCGGAAGAAACTGCTTTAGCTTGTGAAAAATCCAACATGTCAATTATTAACGGTAAGAGAATGGTATAAGATTCATAATAATCTTCTCCCAACAATTTGAGTCAGAGCAGATACATCTATGTCATTCCGAATTTTGAAGATTCGTTGTTTCTTGGAATGGCTTGCTAGTTAATACGCTTGCATATTACTTTACACTAACAACAAAGGATTTCTCCACTTTACTTGTGCCACACACAATACTACTACAATTGGTATGCTATGTACCTTCTTTCTTTTTTTTCTCTCTTCTGATCTGGATTTCTAGGGAACGTAGATATGCCACGAAAAGGAACAGAGTGTTTTAACACCCGATATACAAAACATACATATACAGATATATGCAGCGGGTATGGGTACCGGTATTGGGCAAGTTGGGATGCATGCCGTTGTATGGTATAATCTCTGAACCGAGATAGCCCAATCCTTTCCAATTTGGGAGTAGCTGTAGCTCCTTACTTGCCCAGTCAATCTCTCATCTAGCAAGCATCAGTCTCAACTTGGATACTAGAAACCCTTCTTACCTTGTTGACTCCCTCCTGATCCTCTATTCCTGCTCAAAAGGTTCTACTGTCAAAGCCAAGCTCTGGTTTAGGAAAAAAGAAAACGCTATCTTTCGGTTTAACTAGTATATATACCTCGTGGTCGTGGGGGGTGACTGGTGCAGAACTGGAACTGGAACTGCCTTCAACTGGTACCTCTGCTATTCTAGCTTCTGACTTTTCGTTCGAATACCTGTTACAAGATAGAAGCAGGAACATGATAAACCAAAGATCAAACAAGTTCGAGTGGGATGATATCAACTAGTAAACATGATTGATTTAAATGGGAGGATTCTTGACAATATTGTAAACAGAATAGGGTGACGGAACTAATTGATCCTTTCCCAAGGAAAATGACAGGAGACGCGGGAAAAGAAATTTTGCTTGCAACTTCTGCAGGAAATGGACAAAATGCCTAACGGACAAACAGTTTGGCTCTGTGAGCTGGTGTCTACCAAGAGAAGACCCATCACTAATCGTATCCATATAAGCGTGAAACACCACAGACCACAAAAAAAAGGTCGAAACAGAATACTTGAAGATTCTAAACCAATCCACTAGGTGAATGATACTCTGCATTCTGCAACAATTTAGAATAACAAATAATAGATCCCATTTCCTGAGATTCAGAAATTTTAGGGACAATGGCCTACTACAGACAACGACCTTCCTTAAGTTGTGATAAAATGAGTCAAATATCCAAGTTGGGAAATGGGCAACGTCAGTGGCATATGCAGAGCAGACAGTTCAAAGAACCAACGAGAGTATAACTTACGTGGAGAGGATTGTCACCCAAATGAGCTCCACACAATCCACCCACAGAAGCCTTTGCTCTACCGGGATCATACCATAGGTTATAACATGAGCAAATGGCCACAGCTTCCAACCTGCCTGTCAAACACAGCACCAAATATGATAGAACTACGAATCAGCAATTTATGAATGAGAAGAAAAACTAGGTCCAAGATCAAGTTCCCAATTCCATTCATTGGTTCTTAAGTAATGAACAACACCACTTGGAAATAAACGCAAGAACTTTTATTGCAATGCTGGATGAGTGCAGATGGAAGAGCAAAAAAGTAATTGTCTTACTGTAAGCATGGGAAAAAAGGTAGCCCTCAGTTCATCCAAAATGGTGAGAGGAGACTCCAGCCTCAAGAATCCCAACACAGTAAAATAGATGCTATTCCAAACTGCAGACCAGGCCGTTTGGTCAAAGGCTACTTTGACAGGAACCGCCCACCAGTCGTGAAATGGAAATAGCTCCTGAAGAAGAAACAAAGAAATTACGCATAGCACACATTAAGTATCTGAATTCTACCAACCTGTCTTCAGCAAGACTAAATGAAAACGGGAGTAATTACCTCGCAGAATTGGTAATAGTAATGTGAAAGAGAGCCATGCAACGTAAAACCAACAATGCCTGATCTGAACATGCGCGTGCGATCAAACTCAAATAGTGGTTTACCTTCAAAACACTGCAGGTGCCATAAACGATTATTACAAAGCAAATAGCATTGAACGTATTTCCATTCATTCTTCAAAATCACATTCACTTACTTGTGCAATCCAATCTCCCAAAGAATACACCACTCCACTAATAACCATTTTTGCCAAAACTGGGTTTGTCTTTAGAGCCTCCTCATAGGCAGACCAGTTGTGCTGAGGCGCATATCTTAGTATCTCATAAAGGGTCCATCCCTGGGACAACAAAATAAAGGTAACTTTATAAAAGTAATTCCATGTCACACGAGTTCAGCAGCCAACAAGAAAGTAAGCCCAGAAGAACACTATGTTCATTTTTTTGTGGAACTACTTAGATGGTACATAAAGGGGAACTAATAAAAGTATATAACGAAAATCATTTCAAATGACTGCTTGTTGACAGTTGGAACATAACACGAACAATCAAGATGCAGTACCGTAAACCTCAATTGGAAACAATTTTTAACCAGACCAAAAACAAGCTCTACAGAGTTTAGACTTCTCTAAGCCACCAAATCAAAGTTCTTGAGTATGCCCTGTCGCTTAAACTAAAACCCATCCAATCTTAACTTTTTTATGTCACCTAACAGCTGTTATAAAAGCCGATAATAGATGTCAATGAAATTCGACTAGCAACCTATTTCGAGATTGGATATTTGTGGACAAGATTAAGAATTACTAATATCAGCATGCAGGCAACCTGAAGCTGCAATCAAATCTTAATTCAACTATCTTATGGTCAACTCCTGTAAATAGTATGAAGTTCCTTTGATCCTCCAGCCAAGACTTAGGCTTACAACTTACAAGTACTATATTGTTTGGTTATCCCATTAGGCCATCTGGCATTGCATCATCTAGCTCAATCTCACTAGACATAAACACATGATGCATGTTTATACAGCCCACTCTCATGCTTATGCATAATGAGTTTTGAGAGGAAAAGATCGTACCTTCTCTTTCTTAAATCAAAGCCACATTTACAAAGAAACCATGATATCTAGCCAAATTCTCATAGATGCATAACTGAACATGTCTCTGTCTACTTGCATGATCCCAAGACAAACCATGTAATTTAGTACAAAATTGGACAAAGAACGCATTTTTCCATATGCATAACAAGGTCCACGGCCTTTAACATGCGCTGATATCAACCAGCTAACATGAAAACGGAAAAAGTATAGCAAGCTTCAGGTAAAAATACAACACAGCAGCAGTCAGATAAAAGATTCAGCAGCCAAAACCAGTAAAAGCGAAGCTCATCAAGAGCACAATCAAACAGTAGGCCAAACTGATAATTCACCACTAAATAACTTACATCTGAAGTACTTCTACTCAGAATTTTGAACACAGCCAGGGAAATAGAGGGACTTACATGCCAGTAATCACGATCAATTGTGAGCAACTTGGTAATAGCATAGCTGCCGGCAGCAAGAACAATCATGGCGTTAATCGTGCTATCAATCAGGCGCTCCATTTCCAGCTCCTTCTCCCTCTGATTCCCTTCCCCATCGCCACCACCACCACCTCCAACTATGGAACCAGAAACGGAGGAGAAGCCTTCCAGCGACAACTGACCTTCGCTCGCTCCGAACCCGCTCACCTGAGCCACCAACTCGCTGCCTTCTCTCTCCACTTGGCCTCCCACCGCCGCCATGCCTTCTAGCCGGTCCGTGCTATCCCCGCTCTGCACTGGGATGACATCGAATTCGTCCCGAACAATCGAGTTCACCACCAAGCTATCAGCTACCTGCTTGTTTCTCGAGAAAATCGGATTTCGAAGGAGCTTAATAGGGATTTGAGAAGAGGGGAGGCTCTTTGAAGTGGGAGCATTTCTGTGATTGGAGAGAGGGAGGAAGCTGTGAGGAGAAATGGCGTGGAGGGAAGCCATTGGAGGCTGGCTTCTGCAGCCTTTGAGAGTGGGAGGAACCGAGTCGAGGCGACCGAGTTGTCAATCTAACGGAATCGTTTTCCTTCTCAGTTATCTCCAAGGTTTTGAGTTTGCAAACGAGGCCACTTTTTATTTAATGGGGGCTGAGATCTGGTGTGCCGCGGCCCAATGTAAGCTATTTGACCTTGGCCCGCCCAAAAGTCGACACCTCGGACCACTACCGACAGAGAAGAAGAGATATCCGCCAGAGAGGTCTCTGTTCCTATCAACACCGGATAAAAATCATGGTGCAAATTTGAGCAAGGCCAGAATCAAACAGAACGCTGTAGACCAAGAGTTCTACACGGATGTCAAACTCACAACCTATCTTCAGGTGAAGGGATTTCTGTAAACGGAGTGGAACTCTTTGACAAATTCAGAAGAACGATTTCTCATTTTCCCCACACAGTGGTGGAATAATCAACAAATTTAGAGAGGATAGAACTGGTGACTACTCTGGTGTTGGAATTTGTTACAAGATAAAAAAGAATGATCTACATTGTGTGTCTGTGGAATAACCAATGAGTTGAGTAAAGTGGTCATTGGCAAATATGATTTCATCGTAACCCTGTTGCAAGAGAATCAAGCTGGTCGTGGTTTCTGCTCCAAAGAGAAGCAACAGCTGGGTTCTTCACGTTAGTTTCAGCTCTGGGCTGGTAATATAAGGCGATCTTGACCATCCACCATCTTTGCCGATCGAATCACATCGCCGGTTTTTATCTGCGAAAGAATGTCCCTCCCACTAGTTGCATATCTGCAAAGCAATGTTATAGTTGAGCACAGAAAACCTGACAGTGCAGAAGCTCACACAACAAAACATCAACAGATCCTCAGAAATTACCCGAAAACTGAGAACTGCCCTTCGTCGAAAGACAACCCTCCTAAGCCAGACTGTCATACATTAGACAAGAGACGCAGTCAAGTGATGATTTAAAAGAGAGAAACTTTGAGGTGAAGATAGTTTGGATTATGCATGATACTCACATTTCTCTTGTCGTAGAGATAGAAGAAGAACTGATATGGAGCTGAGTATTCTTCGGACACATCACTATGTGCCATTGCAACTGCTCCATACACTGACATTGGAAGAACTGGCAATTCACCGTCCTTTTTTTAAGACAACTTGAGAGTGATTAGATTGTGAAAAAGCTGAGAACTTTTTGGGCAGCTCTAAATTGGGATGATGAATATATAACATCATTGTATAGACAGTATTGTGTTACCTGGATACTTAATTTTGTACGGTACAATGGCTCGAATTGTTCTGAGGGCATTATTTCTAATGGCACACTGTAACCGGCATTCTTATCGAGTCCATCATCAGTTATGACAGCTTGGTTAATAGTGTTGAGCTTTGCTCCGTCGTATGCCCCATCCACTACCTAAGAAGATCAATGTTTACATATCGTCCATGAAAGGGAAAAGAACAACGGAATGAGAAAATTAGAAGGACCGACTCAGTTGTTGATTCAAAAGTCCTACCAAATGAATCAAAAAATGAAATGGAATGGAAATTGCATAAAGGTTAAGTGAGGTTCAACTACCTTACCAGTTTTGCGAAATTCCCTGCAGTCAGTGGTGCTGAATATCCATCTACAGTAACCTGTTTGCACATAATTTAATTTATTTTGTAGACAGTTCATTATAGTTGGAAATAGATAGGAGAGCAATAAGGTATCCAGGAAAAAACTAGACAATTATGGATGGAGGACACACTTCAGCATTGGAACTGACTAATTCAAGCAAATGTCAATATCCTTATCCAGACATCCAGCATCCGAAATTCAGTACTTCAAGCATGTAGAAGACTCAAAGTAGAAATGCATGTAAAATGACAGGGAATTTGCTTTCTCATCATTACAGATTACTTATCACACCTGAATTTTGACAGTCTTTCTTGATTCACCACCCGCTTCAGGGGAAAATGCTGAACCATCTCCTTTCTCAATGGTAAATTCAACTGTTCCTCTGCCATTTAGCCTACAGGCCAATTGATTCTTGTGAGAAGATAAAACCCAATGAAAAGGCTGTCATTAGTTCTGTACCTGTATCTATTAAGTTGCAATACAACACACCACACAGGGATAATCAGTGGAAGGGCTGACCTTGGATAATCCTTGTATTGCTCTGGCAACAAAAAAGAAAGTCCTGGAGCCTGTTACAACCCAAGGAAATCTATTCAATTATCCTTTGTACAATGTTTATGATCCCTTGAAAGGATTAGCACTGGCAGATGCAAGAAATTTAAGATATTGGTGGAGATTGGTGAACTTGACAAAAGAACATAATTTGATATCGTTGCGAGTCCATCCATGCACAAAGTAATGAAATAATATGAGCCAACCATCACTGCTTTCATGTGAAATGGATATTGGAAAGTTGCTGGATTGATAAGGAATGACCAGTGCTAAGAAGGGAGGGTACTTCCACTTACGGAAGAAACAGGAGAGGAAGTATTACATACCTGTAGCAACTCAATTTCAGCAATGGTATCAAGTGAAGATGCAAGGCTAACAGAAACTTTGTCTGGGTCCTGGTCCTTAATGTTTTTTATGAGAGCTTGCAAACCACCCTTGAAAATGGAAAAAGTTAATTTAGTATCCTTCAAAAATGAACCTCCACTGCAAAAGAAATCTTTGTCTTCAAGACAGTCACTGGTTTCGTGTTCCAATAATGAGATGAAGAGACACCAAAGCAACGTTGAGCAGTTTCCACATTTACAACCCATCTAAAGGAGCCATACCTTCCCATCAATTAGAGATGCATATAATGAGGAACCCTTGTCCCTGAACTCTTCAGGTAAACTTGCCAAAATGGAGTTCTTTTCCTCTGTTGCAATCTGAAACCATCACACCATGTTACCCAAATATTGAACATCAATGACCACACAACAATTTTCTTCAGCTGGTAATGAACTTTGAGTATGGTATATGATTATCACAACTCCGCAAAGATGGCCAAAATATATCTTTTTCTGATGGCAAATACCTTGAGGGCTTTTTTCACATTGCCTTCCATGGTTCCATATGGCTTCCGCTGTGGTATCCTTAGCAAGTATGAGAGATCCTCCAGTGAATTCTGGAACCCACAAATTGCAAGGCAATCCGTAAGCTGCTCACCCTTCCAAATCAAGAGGCATGCATAACTCAGTCGTTGAGAGAATACCTGTATGGCCTTCATGTTTGCATTGGCTGGAATCGCCTTCCTTAAAGCAAGTTCTCCTGTTCTTGGAACCTTAGTGTCAGGAGAATAAAGCACCGCATTTGCCGGTGGAGTGGGGAATGGCTCCCAGCCAAAGAAAGGCAGAGGGGAAGACAATTGAGCAAACATAAGAACCATAGCTATTAGACCCTCTAAATTCTTGTTTCTAAGTTGGGAACTCGGCATGCCTGCTTCAACGCAGAAAGGAAGCCCCTTGTCCATATCCTGCATAACTGCTGGAGGGTTATAATCTTTGCAATTGTCTCCCTAACCTAATCGGCTAATCTAGCTAAAAAGACACCAATTTTACAGTTTGGAAATGTGCAGAAACTACAAAACAATTGGAATGTGAAACCCAGATATCTGAAGCTCGAACCTGAGAAGTGGGTTTTGCAGCAGGGCTGCAGTGAACCCTGTAATCGGCAGAACGCTTGCCGGCGGCTGGAGGGCAGTGGAGGTGCGGAATTGGATTGAAGCGAAATGGGAAATTGGAGGATGAGAGCAAGTGCAGCGTCGTGCGAGCTGAAGAAGGGGAAGAGAAGAGCGAAAGCCTGTGGACGCCAGAGGTCGGGATAATGGAAGGGAGAGCCATAGCCGCTGCAATTTTGGGCTCTGCCTGTGCCGAGCTGCAGATTTTGGCTTCAGTGGGAACCGATTTGTGAGGGAGCAGAGCAGAGGAAGAGAGTGGGGAAGGTTTTGGCGCGCCTCATCTCATCTATATCTTCCTTCCGTACCCGATCCTATGTGTACAAATTTCATTGGTCTATTTCTCCACTACTGACTCATTCTTCTCGAGCTTTCTGACGTGGCCTGCGAAACGTTTCCACTCTGTCATCGGTATTCAGGGTAAGGTTCAGAAAGGAACCCTGTATTTTGCTCATTTTTACAATAAAACATGGTTTCTCAAATTTCTCATACGATATCATTAATTTTGCAAATCACTTGGTTTATTCAGATATTGGAAACAATCCACAATACATTACTCTACTAAATTACTCGTTTAACATAATTAGTCTGACACAGAGTGACTTGAACAAATCATTTTAATGGAGACAAGAAGAACAAAGTATCATAACAAATGTGTGAACTACTTTGTAAAAATAAATATTGTTTATATAGAGAAAATGTTGGTCAATCTGACATGTCATGAGGAAATAAAGCGGGATGATCGGTGATCGATGTTGCTACCATTTATGATGTTAAAATAAAACAATTTTGCAATCTTACTGTAACCGAAAACAACGGTTTAATAACGGTTTCAAATATTTTGGATAACATAAATGTTATTTCTGGGCGACAAATGGTAAGATACTAATACTGAACGATGTCAACCATGTTTCAAAACTATAAGTTATTTCTTGTTATAAAAACATGTAAACAGTAAGTTTTGGCATTATCGATCTCTTTCTTAAAGATCGAGACGCCACGATGTCGATCGATGATGTGAAGGAAAATTACTCCGCCGCCATTATCGAAGACCAATAGTCGTGTTATGTATGCCTGTAAAAGAAATATTGTTTAAAAAGTAATCATTTTTTAGATTTTTTCTTCTTGAAAAAAGAAATGTCTTCTGATTCGTTGCATGTGTTTCTAGCAATTAAGGAAAACACGGAAATGGGATTCTCTCATTCAAGTTCTTGACATAAAAGTAATCATCACATTATGGTTGTTGACATAAAAGCACTATGACCTTTTTCTTCAACCTTTTTAAGCCAACGTTATTTCTCCATCCTTCTTCACTCCAAACAAATCCAGAGACTTGGCAGCTCTTCCAAACCAAAACCCAAGTTCAAGAGATAGGTGGAATAACAAGCTCGGGGATGTACTATCCAAGTGGTTTGTTTGCTCCAAACCC